GCGAATCCAGCATAAATATGCGGATGTCATTCCCGAAACTTTGCAACGTGTGTGTGGCCGAAAAACAAAGCTCGCAAAGAGCGCTCCTTTTTTAACCACTAAAAACTGTCACTCTTAGTTCATCGTGATCTCACAAAGTTCTGTTATGACCAATTAATCTCACACTGTGCAATTAATATATTATTATTACATCGTCTTGTATACACTCTGTATGTTATAATGAAAGGATTCGATTGTGATCAGCACAGAACAAAAACTGGTGTGTGTCGCAGCCATTAGGTAAACCAGCATACATTCATGAGGATGATGAAAGTGTTTTAACTTGAGTAAAGCCCCCAGACCCCCTGCTCGTGACTCCCCCTGCCACCCCCGTACACGTTAAAAACTGAGGCGATTTCACTCCAGCGCTTCTCTTTCTCCTTACGGTTGTGATACGTTTTCGACACATTATACAGACAGTCGTGTTACTACAAAACATCAAGAAGCAGTTTCCTCTGTCTCCACTATCCAATGGAGCCGTACAGCAGCTGTTTTGCGGTCACTGGTCATTGGCTATTGTGAAAGTACTGACGTAATCATATAGCCGTCATCATCCCGATTTCAATCCTAAATAGGTTGATATGATCGGGGCGGCCCCGATTTGTGTGCGAGCAGATCGGGAGGTGCAAGATTCGATTGTGAACACCTCACATTACCAGATAATTCGCGCCGAACATCGGGACCGATCGAGGGGCTCGACAAGATTTTTGCTCCGATTCTCGGGAGGGGGAAATCAGGGCTAAATCGGGCTAAAAATCCTGTAGTGTGAGCCAGGCTTTAGATAGATACGTGTATGAGTGTATAAATAGCGTGTGTTCCACAGTTATTATTAAATGTTCATGAGATGGATTGCCTGAGGGAAGAAACTGTTCCAGAATAATCGAAAACTGGTGAAATATCGGGTGGTGTGTACTGCCGAATGTCCAGCAATTCGTCTCTGGTGAAACTGGATATAACTAAAGACAGGACAAACTAACAAAAACATAAAAACAACTATGGAGCACGCCACGGAGGCAGCCATCACCGTCGGCGCCATCTCACATTTCACCACAAATCAAATTTGATTCACAAATCAAAACAGCACATTCACTTCACAGACAATGGCAAATTACTAGTTAGCTAGGCTAGAATTACACCATTAATTCGCTATTCAATTGCATACACGATAGATACAAGAAGGCCTTAATTTAGGGAGATGAGGAACATCGCTCAAATCACTATTAAAAGTAAATACACTTTAGGGAGATTTCTTCGTCGCCCAGTTTTAATATCACTGCCAGTGGGATTTCTTCGCCACGCAGATTGATTCATGCCGCTAATCTGAGATTTCTTCAAACAACAGAAATTAGGATTTATTTGCTAAAATCAGGTTAGTTTCTTATTGTATGATTTAAACGCATTATAGCACTGAAAACTTTCTACTGCTCGTAGGAAGGCACATTCAAGCTATAGTTTATCTGAGTTTATCAGAAGCTGGTATGCATGTGTAAGACGTTAATAAAAACCCATGAGACAAACACACAAGTCTGATACTGAGTCCGCTTGCAAATAATGTTTAAAACGATCGCCACCATTCTCCACCATTTATGTAGCAAATTAGCTCAAAAGGGAAATATATATAACCAATTACAATTAATTAAGATTAATTACAATTATTTATATGAGGTGCCAGTATTAACTGTAGCAGAATTAAATTGTCATCAACTAATCTGTTCGTCCAGTGAACATTTAGTGTAATTTCATATCAACTCTAAGAAAGGATATTTTCGTGGCCATAGAAAACAACCTTCTTACAGTAGCCTATTAATGCATTAGAGCATGTAGCAAGGATCAAAATCGTAAAGGGACATTATTCACAAGCAGGATCAGAAACTCAAAAAAAGAAAATAAGTCAGTTAACCACCTGAGTAAAACCATCAGCGCCGTTTATAACTGGGTCTATAGCTTACACTAAACCTCTGTTTCGTTTAGTTAAATGTACGATACTTGCATTGCCTTGGTCTTTGACGAGTGTCCGGATGCAGTCTCGGATGAAAGTCTTGATGGTTTCAAGGTTTTGGACTGGCGATCATGTTCTTCTGAGTTTGAAGAGTGATGAATTCCAAAGATGTTCTGACACGATGGTGATTGGGGGTTTCTTCCCAGTGGAAAGTGAAAAAGAGCTAAGAGAGACATCAGCTGAGATCCTAGGATCTTTGGTGAATGGAAAGTCAAGGCCGAGGCCTGGCACGAACTTAGGGTGTCCTTAGAAGACTAGCTCAGCATCCCCATCTTCTCAGAATCTAACAGAACCGCAGACTGAAGGCGGGTCACTGATGTGTTTGCCTTTATCCTCTATCGAGGTCACACCTCTGGGATTTGAGTGAGCCAATGGTGTCTTGAACTTTTGGAGGGAAAGTTTATGACTCTTTGTCTCAGAGTATGGTATTTTGCATATGTAGTTTGATTGGGTGTTGATGCAAAAACTACTAAAGATTCTTAGAACACTAATATATTGCCTATGTACCAACATATAATATACACTCTTGTTTAGATCATCAGAAGACTAATTCATAGATACTAAACATGGTATGGGTAAGATTACATGAACGAGTGGTTCTATCATAAGCGTGCATTAAACAGTATACAATACAAATATACAAGAAGAGTAACAATATACACAATGATCTGAAGGATATGTGTGTTCATTCAAAGAAAGGTTTTCCTATTAATTAATTAGAGATGAGTCCATTTTTATGGCCATTATGTTTTTCCTATAGTTGAAAGGTGGTGAGAGGGAGAACTCTCAGCATGCCATTAGGTCGTAAAGTTTATCTGGTCTGGCTGAGGTGTCCTGATTGCCATGGTAACCAGGGGCCTGGGGTCGTTCCTAGACATGCTGGCACCCAGTATGTTTACTGGGTGAGGGGTCTGTGATTATATGTTAATCTAATGAATAATTGATTTGTTAAATCTAATGAACAAATGTGTGTCTGATTGGTCCAAATGCTACATAATTCCCCCCTTTCGAATGTTGTTGTCTGTCCAATAGACAACAGCGAGCAACGTCAAAGGTACAGAACAATCAGACACGCACCTGCCACTCATGGCTGCGAGACAGTGGTGGCTCTTGGGGCTGTTGTTGCCTCCAGGAGTGGTTGTGGTGCCATGGTGGATGCTGTCAGGTGGTGTGCTGTGGTGTCTGATTGGTCCAAATGCTACATAAAATTATTCCCTCTGCACCTCTTAACCGTCTGGGGTCTAAGGGTGTTTTGGGGCCCTGGCGAAGTTTTGACATGCCCTGACATTTGTGCTTTTTTCAGTTGCTTATAAAAATGTTAATGGTCAAAGTTTAATAACACTGTAATCAGCACAAACTGGGCTAGAATAATATGTGAGCAGCATGTATATACGTGATTGTGTTTTTGAGCCTGCATAATGAGCTGCATAATGAGCTGTCAGGTGTGTGACTGAGAAGGAATTGCTACAAGAAAGAATGTGAGGAAAAAGAAATGTGTATATATATATTTTTTGTTTGTAGTTTATTTAGAATATATATATATATATATATATATATAAGTATCGCATAAAATAACATTAGACTCCCTTGCGAGTTCAGTTAAACAGTTTATTAGAAAAAACAAAAACAAAACAACAACACGAGTCAAGACGTCATGGGTGCAATATCCAAAACAGCAGCAGGAAACTTGAACAACATTTTGAAGAGACACATGGGAGTATGCATGACATGGTCTTGGCTGTGGTCCAGGTTCCTGTGCAGGCAGGATTACTAATATTTCCCACGTGTCATAGATGCACACATAGTACAAAAAGGACATTCTATATCTGAGAAACTAAATTAATATTGGTAAGCACATGTTTGAACATATTTGCAGACAGGGTATTTCACAGTAATGATTGGTCTAAACATTATTAGATATTGCTTTTAAACAATACTTTTATATAGTATTGTTTATAGAACATAAATGTAATTAGATTTAATGAAAGGTTGCCTATTATTTCAAAATGTTGCACTCGATTTCACACATTTTAGTCTGGAATTATAGTTTGGGAAAAGTCCAACTAGTAAATGCGTTCAAGTTTATGTCACAACAACAACACATTATCTAATGCAAATAAGAAACTCGCGTTCTGTTTGTGAGGTAAACAATGCTCTCAGCGCTTCTTCTGAGGTAAATACAAGGCTTATTCCTGTCAGATTCTTCTTCCAAAATCGAAAAGTATCCGAGATGAACATGTTGCTGCTTTGTTTACGGTGATGTGGGCGTTTACATGTCATGCATCTCACGTGGAGATTTGTAATATCAATAGCGCGAGCAGCGCTATTGGACCTATTTCCCTCATTAGACCTATTTAGAGATAATGAGAACAGACGGAAAAACTGGACATGTCGTTGGTTTCATATGGATTACTTTATCACAGAATATTTGTTTTTGGTAAGAGTTACTTCATTTAAGAGTAGACATGTCAAGCTTTCTATAGATATATTTTTCGTATCTCTGTGTAAAGTATTCACTGAGTTTCAGTTCATTTTAGTGACGTGTTTCTAAAAGCAGTTCGCGGACACAGTGAAGACTGAGTGCGCACCCTGTTTGTTTTCTTTATTTTTTTGTTAAAAAATTAAAGTTTTGTTGATATGGTGTGCATACACAAATAAAAGTAGACCCTTTACAAATTCAAGTGATGTATCACTTTTATGTGCCCAATCAAAAGTGACAGAGCATTTTAAGTTCTTTTCTCTGTCATCTGGAAAATATGCAAGTGCTCCCGCCGGCGTCTTTGCCGACCCCAGGCAGTTAAACTGATACCAGTTATCGGTAAGCCGTTTGAACACGTTATTTTAGATTGTGTGGGACCTTTACCGAAAACAAAATCAGGCCATACTTATCTGCTTACGCTTATGTGCGCGGCAACTCGCTACACTGAGGCCATACCACTTCGTTCACTTAGAGCTAAAGCTATTGTGAAACCCCTGACTCATTTCTACTTTTGGACTTCCAAAGGTCGTCCAAACAGATCGGGGAACAAATTTTATGTCCCGTCTGTTCAATCAGACTTTCTCAATTGCATATTCAGCACGTTGTTTCAAGTGCTTACCATCCTGAATCCCAGGGAGCCCTGGAAAGATTCCATCAAACGTTGAAAACCATGTTGAAAATTGATTGCACCGAGTCTGAAAAGGAATGGGACGATGGATTGCCTTTGCTTTTATTTGCCCTCCGAGAAACTGTCCAGGAGTCTTTGGGGTTTAGTTAATTTTTGGGCACACGGTGCAGGGACCACTTAAAGGGCAGGTCATATGGTTTTTTAAAGTGTCCTAATATTGTGTTGGAGTCCCCTACAACAGGTTTAAATGCTTCTAAGGTCAGAAAACACTGTAATTTTCCCAGAATATGATTTCGAAACGGTTCGTTCGATTCTATTTAGGCACTGGAATGCAAATTTACCAGGGGAAACCCGACTGAAATTTTACCCCAGAAGCGATTTTTAAAGGGGGACCACCCTCGAAACACGATTGGGCTAGTTTTGAGTAGCAATTGGGCCAGTTTTATGACAACCTGGCAACCTTAACAGTTTGAAAACCAAAATATGTCTACTGTAATGTCTGAAGAACGACAGACAAAAGACGCTCCGTGTCTTAAACTTTAATTATACGGCAGAACAGCTGTATCACATGCGCACCAGCCTCTTCTCTCTCCACCGGGTCTTTTACTCCCTGCATTAACCCTATAACTACATAAACAGCACTTTCACAATGATTATAAAGTCTGTGCGCTACACTACATCCTTTATTATTAAACGAAATAATTAGAACAACGACAGTCTACATTAATTGACATATTCTTAGGAAATAGTGGGTTCACAGCGAATTATAAGAACTATTTCAGTAAAACAGTAATATCGTGCTTTACCTGAAAACCCAAAGCTGCACTAGGTATATATACATCACATATTAGCACAAAAAAAAATAGATATTTTGAGCACTCAATTGAAAATGTACACATAACATATCAATCATACTTAACAGGTTGTGGTTCGGAGACGGTTGTTGGTCCAAATAAAGAAGATTAGAAGCCAACAAAGATAAAAGGCAAGATGAGAGAAGTAGTCCTCTGTAAAATGACGAGCACAACAAAAGGTTTGAATTGTATTGCTGTGGTACATACACACATATGTACATTGTGTGGAACATAGCATCTTCTCGACACAGAGAGTGTTTTCGTATTTCGTGGGCAGGCGGGGATTATGTTAATGTGTTACCCAGTGACGTAGATCGGTAACAGGCAGAAGATTCGAAAATATAATGACTCATTAAGGCGATTCTGAGTCGACTCTTTCTTTTGAGAGACAATATCTTTATTTATCATGCACTTTTTTGATTAACAATTTGCAGACTGTTTACATTGAAGGATAGCTACCTTACAAACTGCAAAAGAGATATTTTTCGAAAACCCATATGACCTGCTCTTTAAACTCCTAAAAGAGATTTGGCTGTCTGACTCTGACGTGAAGTCCAATTGTAATCTATTGGATTGTTAGCTCGTTTCGAGAACGTCTTCATAAAGATCGTGATTTGTCTCAATCAGCTCTATCAAATGCTCAGATAAAAATGAAGAAATGCTTTGACAAGTATGCAGTTGTTCGTTCATTTGAGAAGGGAGATCAAGTTTTGGTTTTGTTACCACTCCCCGGCTCTGCTTTGCAGGCAAAGTTTTCAGGACCTTACATTGTGGATCAGAAACTCAGTGACTCTGATTATATTATTGGTACCCCTGGTCGGCAGAGAAAGACTCGTGTGTGCCATATTAATATGCTCAAACATTATGTTGCTCGAGGTAAGGGAGAAGAGTCAAAAAGCTCTATTATCCCAGTTGCCTCTAGTGCTACGGTATCACCAACCTGTACAAATAACGATGGTCTATGCCTATGAAGTATGCCCACGTCTGGTGTTAGATTAAATAATTCTGAAATCTTGTCAGATCTTAATACTCATTTGCTGCATTTAACCGAAGACCAGAGAGCTGACATTGCTGACAGTCTTTTCTTGGGTTGTTTTCTGATGTTCCGACACAAACAAATGCAATTAAACATGATATTGAAGTGAATGAACATCCACCTATCAAACAACATGCATACCGAGTGAATCTAGCTAAACGAAAAATAAATGAGTCTGAAGTGAAATACTTAGTGGAAAATGGGTTAGCTGTTCCTAGTTCGAGTGCTTGGAGTTCGCCTTGTCTGCTTGTCCCAAAGCCAGCTGGGTCTCATCGGTTCTGTACAGACTACCGTAAGGTAAATACAATTAGAAAACCTGACTCGTTTCCTCTGCCTTTAATGGAGGACTGTGTCGACAATGTGGGTTCGGCTTGGTTACTAATGAAATTAGACCTTTTGAAGGGTTACTGGCAAGTTCCCTTAACAGAACGGGCAGCCAAAATTTCCGCATTTGTCACTCCCCATAACTTCCTTAATTATACGGTGATGGCTTTCGGACTTCGGAACGCTCCAGCAACCTTTCAAGATTTAATGAACACCATATTAGGCGAAGTTGCAAATTGTAAGGCTTACTTGGATGACATTGTGGTGTTCTTGTCTAGTTGGAGAGAACATGTGAACACATTATTTACTGTCTTCACGCGTTTGCTTAATGCTTTCCTCACATTGAACTTGGCAAAATGTGAATTTACCAAGGCAACTCTTACCTATCTAGGGAAACAAGTTGGACAAGGTCAAGTACGGCCTGTTGCCCAAAAAGTGCAGGCAATTGTTGATTTTCCTGTGCCACCGACTAAGTGTGAACTTCGCAGTTTTTTAGGGATGGTAGGTTATTATAGAGTGTTCTGCCGAAATTTCTCTGATATTGTTTTACCTTTAACCAATTTGCTTCGTTCTTCCCAAAAGTTTCTGTGGTCTGATGAGTGTCAACATGCTTTCAAATCTGTTAAAGCCCTGTTGTGTAGTGTGTAGCATGGCCACACAATTTAAAGTTTCCGTTCGGGCGCCAGACAGTTTAAATAACTGTCGAAAAAAATATAATGACCCCACTCAGCTCTTAAACCAAATAAAGGACTCTCCAAAAAAAGTTTAAAAATCAAGAGTTATTATTCCAGTTCATTCATGCATACAATTAACAAAATAATTATTTCGGGGCATTCGTAGAAGAACAATAAACATGTGCAAAAATTACTCTAGATCAGAGTTTCATAACGAAGAAATAATCAAAATAATCAAAGTTTTAAAAAAAAAATTACATATAGTTTTTTGTCTAGGGCTAGGGCCTATACATTTTATGAAGAGATGCGATATCGACAAAAGCTTTAAAAGCGTGGAGATAGTACCATTTGATCTCTTCTATTTTTGAGATTCAAAGAGGGATTTTGCGCAAGAATAATTTGGCCAGCAATCGAGTTAAAAGGGAGTAGAAATAAAATCCACAAACCCGTTTGGCGTGCCGATGAACTCTGGTATTTCGCTTCGATTGCCTCAACTCTTCCTTGTGCAGGTACATCCAAAGATACCAACGCGATCTTCCTGGTGTATTCCCCAAGGATTGAAACTCAAGCGATTATGGTTATACTCCAAAGGCTACCTCAAATATTCCATGCAAACGCACAGCACTCTCACTTCCGCGACTCGACTTCCTTCCTCTTCTCTACCTGTTCTTTTTGTATCCTTTTTCAGACCACACCCTTTTTTCAACATCATCTTTTATGATTTTCGTTCAGATAAATCAACAAGGATAATTATCATAATGAATTGGTTTGAAAAGCCGTTATTTATTTTACTTATTCGTTTGTTGGAAGTGATAAAGTGAACGAAAATCTGACAGTGTCAAAGTGTAATGATCCGTTACACTCTCTTCCCCCCTTGGGAAGTCAACCCATGGTTGGCATCAAAACCCAGAAAATCCTCCTAGAGTTGTAGAATTTTTTGTTTTTCTTTTCTTTCCAGATCTTCAGCTGTAGGGTAGCAAGGTTTGAGATTACAAACCTGAACATTCCTGACATCTTCACCAGTGCTTTCTAAGACCACCTGATAGTTCACAGGTCCCAGTTTACGTACAATCCAGTAAGGTCCTTTCCACTTCTTAGCCAGTTTAGCGGTAAAATTATGTAGTGCACTTGATTGTGGAAAGTTTCTTACCCAGACTCGATCTTGAAATTTTTAAGACACTTCCCTTCGATTTTCATCATAGTTTCTAAGCTGACAGAGGCGTTCTCTCTTAGAACTGTAAGAATTGACCCGCCAGCCCAAAACAGTGGAATCCAGTGGCCTGGTCGAAGGTTTAATGCATATTCGGTCTTTCACTTGCGCTTTTGAATTTATCAGGAATTAGTTTCAATGCACTTACCATAGTATTTGGATTTTAGAGTTTTCCAAGCATCTGTTTACAGATATCCGGAAGTACTGGGCCAAATGGGAGAGTCAAGCTCAAATACAACCTCAAAGGTGAGGGGAGCACTGCCCGGGACAGCATTTATACAGGAAGGTTCTCGTAATGCCACCTTTACCTCCCGCTCGATGCCTCAGCAAGAGGGGATATCCTGGTTATCGGGAAGCCCCTCAGGGCGACCCAGATATGGTAGACCAGTCAGGGTAGCATGAAAGCGTAACCCCAGCCCG